GGGAGGCTCCCAAGGCCCAGAATTGTCGAAACAGCCCCCCCCCCCCCCGGCGCAAAAATGCGCTGGGCCCGCCCAGCATCGAACCGGGGGACCCAACCGGCCGGGCCGCCCGGGACCCCTGCCGGACGGAGGCTGGGCCGCCGGGCGGCCCGGAATTTAACACAGCTCCTGCATCCTTTTCCCTTTTTTTGCCTTGGCAGGATGCTCGTCTCTGTCCACGTACGACTTTGGCCACTGGAACTGTTTATCATATGCAGGATTGTCCAAATAAAGCATGTTTCCTTCCACTCTCGTTTTCAGACCGTACTGTTGCGCCAGAAATTCTGCCATCTCCTCCTCCTTGTGCAAAGCCTCGAATCTGTTACCATTCGGGGACCCTGTATTTTGTTGGGATGCACCTGCCCCCGCCTGTTGCACCTTGCGGTTATACCGTTGGTGAGCCATGTGCAGCTTGAATTCTAGGTCCCTTGCGCGCTCCAAGTCCTTGATTGCTTGTTGAAGCCAATCCGGGTTTTCCTGGCTGTCTTCCCTTTTGTCCTCGTCCACTTTCGTCTGTTCCCAGTCTTCGTCCATGATGTCATTGGTTGGGTCCTTTCCTTCGTTCTTCTTCCTTTTCCTGCCCTCTCCATCCTGGATTCCTTTGTTTTCAATGTCCATGGCGCTGTCTATAACGCTGTCTGACGTAGTTGTTTGTTTGTCTGAAACCAAGCGAGCGTGTGTGCGTTTGGTCTTGTCCGAGTGCGAAAGCGAGTAAAACGCTTTTTCCGCTAGCTCTCCAATTTTTGCTTGTTCTTCCATCATCTGCAATTTCTGCTTATCTTCCTCCACTCCTTCCTTTTGCATCGTTGGTAAGGTGACGTGACCCACCCCTTCCTGATCCATCTTTCTGCCTCTTGTCTGCCTCCACCTGCTGCCAAAGGGAGGATACATGTCCGGTTTCTCTGTGGGCTCTCCAATCAATGTCCAAACCCACCGTGGTGTTTCGAGGTTGTCATCAAAGATCCAACCTCGATATTCCGGGTGGTTAATGTACCAGACTCCGGTCTTGGATTCACATTCCACCAGCTATTGTATTGCTCATCTATACTTCTTTTGTCTATGGATGGTTTGTGTGTGTGTGTGTGTGTGTGTGTGTGTGTGTGTGTGTGTGTGTGTGTGTG